TTTGGGGAAAATAGAATCTTGACATTTGGGAGTTGTAGTTGCTGGGATTTATAGTTCACCTACAATCACAGAGCATTCTGAACCCCACCAACGATAGAATTGGGCCAAACCTCCCACACAGAACCCCCATGTGGGCCACAGCAACGTGTGGCAGGAGACATCTAGTATAGAATAGATGTTTTGTTTGCAACAGTAAAAGTCAGTGTTTACCTTCTAAAAAACTTTATGGTGTATTTCTTCTCCTGTATCCTACCATAAACTCATATATAGCATAGTTCCGCTGCACTATACTCTGCTGTAGATGCCAAATATTCCTATAACAACAGTGCAGAACAACAGCTCTCCAAAGCTCTAGGTGCTTTTACTGCCTATTACAGGAAAAACCATTGATCCCCAACCCATCTGAAACACAGGCATGTGCCTTTCACCTCAAGAACAGAGAAGCATCCCGAGCTCTGAGGATCACCTGGGAAGGAATCCCACTGGAGCATTGCAGCACACCCAAATACCTGGGAGTCACTCTGGACCGTGCTCTGGCCTACAAGAAGCACTGCCTGAACATCAAGCAAAAAGTGGGTGCTAGAAACAATATCATACGAAAGCTGACTGGCACAACCTGGGGATCACAACCAGACACAGTGAAGACATCTGCCCTTGCGCTGTGCTACTCTGCTGCTGAGTACCATGCCCAGTGTGGAACACATCTCACCACACTAAAACAGTGAATGTGGCTCTTAATGAGACATGCCGCATTAACGGCTGAACGGCTCTCACAGTCAGGAAGTTCTTCCTAATGTCCATCTGAACATTAGGAAGAACTTCCTGACTGTGAGAGCCGTTCAGCAGTGGAACTCTCTGCCCCGGAGTGTGGTGGAGGCTCCTTCTTTGGAAGCTTTTAAGCAGAGGCTGGATGGCCATCTGTCAGGGGTGATTTGAATGCATATTCCTGCTTCTTGGCAGGGGGTTGGACTGGATGGCCCATGAGGTCTCTTCCAACTCTTTGATTCTATGATTCTACTGCCCTTTCATGGGGTGTCTGCGCCCTACACCACTGGAGAAATTACACTGTTTAGCCGGTATTGCACCACCTGACATCCGCCGGGAAGTAGCAGCCAATAAGTGAAAGGACCAAGGCGGAGACATCTCCAGCTCATCCCTTGTTTGGGCATCAGCCAGCACGTCAACGACTTAAATCAAGACATAGTTTTCTAAGATCTACAGAGACACTCGCTGGAACACCTCAGCAAGCGAGAGTTCAAAAGTGGCAGGCTCAAACCCAGCACCTCAATCTGTAGGTGATGCCAGATGAGAGACTCCCCCCTGGGCTCACAGAAGACTGGGCGACTTGGAAGGCACTGAACAGACTGCGCTCTGGCACCACGAGATGCAGAGCCAACCTTAAGAAATGGGGCTACAAAGTTGAATCCACGACATGCGAGTGTGGAGAAGAGCAAACCACTGACCACCTGCTGCATGCACCCTGAGCCCTGCTACATGCACAATGGAGGACCTCCTTGCAGCAACACCAGAGGCACTCCAAGTGGCCAGATACTGGTCAAAGGACATTTAATCAGCTACCAAGTTTGCAAAATTTGTGGGTTTTTTTATCTGTTTGTTTGTTTTGTTCTGTTAGAAATGTAAAACAATGTTCTGGTTGCGGATGACATGATAAATAAATAATATCCTACCATAAACTCATATATAGCATAGCTGCGCTGCACTATACTCTGCTGTAGATGCCAAATATTCCTATAACAGAATGTACGTTTCAGCTCACCTCCCTGACCTTCTATATGACCTCCCCTTAAAACCCCGCTCTTGCCTTTCTTTGTCATGACAGCCTGTTCTTTCTTGCTGTTCCTTGCGGCTGAGATGAAGGCGCTGATAACACCCCGTATTGCGTATTGCGGCCTTTAATACGAGGCGATATAATTTCCAAACCCAAAGCCGCACCGTCCAAGAAACGCCCTTAAGCTTGTGCAAGCCCTGACCATTGAAAACAAAAGCAAATCCATCTCTGCTTTCCATGTTTGCGGTATATTGTCCTCACAGCTTTGGCACATGCATGGTTCACCGGCAGCGCACCAAATAAATTATGTGTGTCTTGGATGGAAATAAATCATTCCCAGCTCAAAGGAATCCCAAAATGCTTACTGGGCTGAGTTGCCAAGGAGAAGGCAAAAGCTTTGTTTTCCTCTAAAAGAAGGGTCTCCGGGGGTCTTTTGGGCTTCTGAGTCACCCACCGCGGCCTCCAAAGACCTTTTCATTGCTTCCCTTTTGTCTTTTATGGGAATGATCCTCCTTCAAAGGCCCAAATGGTCGATGTGTAGGAGTGCTAATACAAGATCCAAGGCATGAAAGCACTGGGTGAAATTCCGTGGAAAATGGAAAATATTTCACATCATACCCAAGATAGGTGATTGTTGATGGGTGACTGTAATGGCACCATTTTCTCTATCCATATAAAAATGTAATGTTTGTTTGTGGGAGAAACATAAATCAGAAAGTACTGGACAAATTGACATGAAATTTTGACATAATACACCTAACAGTCCAATGAGTGTTCATCGCCCCTAAAAACACATACATACAAAAAACAGCAGAACTGACTTAAAAACCCCCAAAATACACCATATATACTGTGCTGTCACGCACTGGGTCTATAGCAGTTGGCTTTTGAACAGGACGTGCTCTTTGTGTCCAGCGGGAAGCCGGGGTGCCTCGAGTGAGAGGCCCTAAGGATTTTCCTATACAGTCTTTAGAAGCTTGAAAGGTTTAACAAAGTCCTTTATTATTGCTTAAGTCTTCAACAAACAATCAAATACTTCTTAGATCTTCAACAAATTAAACAAATGCTTCAAGGCTTTGAATCAACTGGTGGCTTTCTTAATCTTGTCCACAAGGGACAGGCAACTGGCTTCGTGAACTGTTTCTTTTCTTTAAGAGGAAAACCCTTTTTAACCCCTCCTTGGGCAATCTACTTTCTAAACTTTGCTGGTGTGGGCTCTACTCCCGGCTCCAAACTGCTTCTTGGGTCCTGAGTAGATCTACCAGTCAAGGCTTTGTAGATTCTCCAGCTGGAGTCCTTTGGAACTGTTTCCCCCTGGAATTTCCCCCGGATGCTGTGAGAAACGAAGCTTCTCTACAGGTGGAGCTAATCCACGTCCTGTAGCTAAGCTTTCCAATGCAAGACTGACCTAAAATGGCTCCCTCTCCTCCCAGAGCCCTGGGGAAAGGGGCGGAACCAAAACTTAACAATGATTGATGGGTCATTGGCCCTTATAATTGCAAAATGCATGGAACTTTGGAATACATGCAAACACTCAAAGAAAGAAAAGGATGTTGGAGCTTTTGGTACAGCCGTACCAGCACATATACACATACAGTCATATACATAATACACATACATACACACATGTGTATATACACACACACACAAATATACATACATATACATACACACACACATATATATACACATTGACAGACACAAATATACACATGCACACATATATACATATACACATGCATACAAATATACATATACACATACACACATATAGACACAAATATGCATATAGACAAGCACACACATATACACAATATACATATCTATATAAATAAAAATGTCATGTTAGTATGTGGGATTAATGTAACCAAGAAACCACTGGACGAATTGACGCCAATTTGGACACAATGCACCTATCAGGCCAACGAGTGACCATCACTCATAAAAACACTGAAAAACACAGAGGAAGGGACTTAAAAGGAAAAAAAAACATTACAACTCATGCACAAAACCACAAATATATACACACACATATATATATATACACAAAACACATATAAACAGACCAGGCCACAGCAACGCGTGGCAGGGGACGGATAGTATGCATATAAACACACATATATACTCACACACACACACACACACATACGCAAACACACATATAAACACAAATATATCCACACATATAAATACATATATACACACACACAACACATATAAACAGACTGGGCCACAGCAACGCGTGGCAGTTGATGGCTAGTACATATATATACACACACATATACTCTTATTTATTTATTTACAGCTTTTATATTCCGCCCTTCTCACCCCGCAGGGGACTCAGGGCGGATTACAGTGTACACATATATGGCAAACATTCAATGCCAATTTTTGACATACAAACATATACAGACATACACAGAGGCTATTTAACTTTTTCTGGCCGCCAGGGGAGCTGTCGCTTTCATCGTCCATCTGCGACACTGATGAAGCACTTCCGCATTCCCCGCATGCTTCCCCGCTGGAATGCTTTGCTGGAGTCTTCTTTATGGCCTCATAAATCAGTTAATTTAGCCTCCCCACACTTTAAGGTGGTACCTTATTTTCCTACTTGACAGATGCAACTGTCTTTCAGGTTGCAAAGGTCGACAACAGGCTACACACAATTGGTTGGAAACCCACTCCAACCTGGGCTGGCTTCAAACTCATGATCTTAATGCAGCTGACACTCAGCCAGCTGCGCCACAATCCCGGTGCCACATATATACATCCATATATATATATATATATATATATATATATATATATATATACGCAAACATACATATATACACATACATAAATATATCCACACATATAAACACATATATACACACACAAAACACATATATACAGACTGGGCCACAGCAACGTGTGGCAGGGGACGGCTAGTTGATAAATAGAAAATCAGAAAAATAAACCCTATTAAAGCTGAACAAGGCAAACTTCCAAAAACATTATTTCCATGATATGGGATTGACAGATGTCTGGAGATTAAAATACAACAATGCTGCGGACTACACCCTTTACTCAAATAGGCATTGATATGTGCCTTCAAATCCTTACAGAGACATAGATCTCAAAACATAGTCAACCTTACAGTGGTAGGCAATGATTATTGTAAAACTCTCCTGGCTAAGAGTATAGCTAATATTCATTTCCTTTTCAACAGGGCTCTGATCCTTTAGCGCAATCGCAGCGGAGCAAGTTGCAGCACCGCCGGGCGCGGATCAACCAGCAGATCAACAAAGAGATGCGGATGCGAGCCGGTGCAGAAAACCTTTTCAGGTTAGCCCTTTCCCATCCCTAAGACTGTCTTTCTTAGCATCCTAGAGTTGGAAGGGACCCCAACGGCTATCCAGACCAACCTCTGTCTTCCAGGCAGGAAGACACATTAAAGCACTCCTGACAGATGCCCATCTAGTCTTTGTTGAAGGAGACTCTACCAGACTCTGAGGCTAATATTTAGGTGGAAATCTCTTTTCCTAGCATTTGTATCCATTGTGTCCTAGTGTTTGGAGCAATAGAAATATTCCATCTTCAATATGGCATCCTTTAAAATATGTAAACAAAACTTGCCGTATTTCAGCGTTCTCTTTTCCAGGCTTCTCCATAGGGATTCATGTGGTTATCATTCCAGGTGAGCTCTGACCAAAGCCGAATAAAGTGGGAATATTACTCCACATGTTGTAGGCACTATACTCCTATTGGCTCGAATTGCATTAGCTTTTTTAGCTGCAGCATCACACTGTTGGCTCATGTTCCAGATCCCTTGCACTTGGGGTATTTTCAAGTCGGGTGCCTCCCATTCAATATGACATGCTTTTAAATATGTAAGCATAGCTATCACGTCCCCTACTGCAGGATAGAGCGGAATTACTGTATATACTCGAGTATAAGCCTAGTTTTCAGCCCCTTTTTTAGTTCCCCTCGGCTTATACTCGAGTCAAGGTTATTTACTATTTTACGCTGTTATTAGTATTATTTTTATTACATTTACCTTTAGATTATTTTACTGTACTATTATTTTATTACATTTATTATTTTACTCTATTACTGTTATTAAATTTCCATTATTTACTCTATTATTATTATTACATTTACATTATTTTACTGTACTATTATTATTATTACATTTACATTATTTTACTGTACTATTATTTTATTACATTTATAATTTTACTCTATGTATTATTATTATTATTACATTTATTATTTCATTCTATTACTGTTATTAAATGTCCATTATTTACTCTATTATTATTATTATTATATTTATTTTTTACATTATTATTATTATTACATTTACATTATTTTACTGTACTATTATTTTTATTACATTTATTATTTTATTCTATTACTGTTATTAAATGTCTATTATTTACTCTATTATTATTATTATTACCTTTATATTATTTTACTGTGATATTATTTTTATTACATTTATTATTTTACTTGATGTATTATTATTATTATTATTATTATTACATTTATTATTTTATTCTATTACTGTTATAATAGCCAATGTCCATTATTTACTCTATTATTATAATTATAATAATATTTATTTTTTACATTATTATTATTATTACATTTACATTATTTTACTGTACTATTATTTTTATTACATTTATTATTTTAGTCTATGTATTATTATTATTATTATTACATTTATTACTTTATTCTATTACTGTTATTAAATGTCCATTATTATTATTATTATTATATTATTATTACATTTACATTATTTTTATTACATTTATTATTTTACTCTATGTATATTATTATTACATTTATTATTTTACTCTATTACTGTTATTAAATGTCCATTATTATTATTATTATTATTATTACATATATTTTTTACATTATTATTATTATTACATTTACATTATTTCACTCTACTATTATTTTATTATATTTATTATTTTACTCTATTAGTTTTATTAAATTTCCATTATTTACTCTATTATTATTATTATTATTACATTTATTATTTTACTCTTATTATTATTATTATTATTACTACTACTACTACTACTACCTTAACATTATTTTACTGTACTATTATTTTATTACATTTATTATTTTACTCTATGTATTATTATTATTATTATTATTATTATTATTATTATTATTACATTTATTATTTTACTTTACATTTGTTATTTTACTCTATTTTATTATTATATTTATATTATTATTATTACATTTATATTTTACTCTATTTTTATTATTATTACATTTATTATTTTACTCTATTTTTATTATTATATTTATTATATTATTATTACATTTATATTTTACTATTATTACATTAATTTTATTCTATTATTATTATGACATTTATTATTGTACTCTAATATTATTATTACATTTATGATTTTACTTTCTTGTTATTATTACATTTATATTTTTACTCTTATTATTTGTATTACATTTATTATTTTACTGCATTTATTACTATTATTACATTTACACTATCCGTCCCCTGCCATGCATAGCTGTGCCCCAGTCTGTTTATATGTGTTTTGTGTGTGTATTTCAGTGTATATGTGTGTGTGAATATTTGTGTATATGTGTACATATGTGTGTTTGCTTATATATGCGGTTTTGCACATGCGTTGTAATGTATTTTTTATTTGTTGGCTTCTCTTCTGCAGTGTTTTTCAGTGTTTTTAT